AGAGACTCGTCTCAAAACGAAAGAAAAAGTATGTCTATGAACTCTAGTGTGTTCAAAAATGCACAGAAATGAATTTTCAACTGGGTTCCCGTTCCTAGGAACCCGGAACCCGGTGCGGGTTCCCGTTCCCAGGAACGGAACCCGAAACTGACACCCCTAGTTTGAATGAGTTCGATCTAACATTACTATTGGTAATGTTATAAACATTTTTTGTTTTAATATCATGTTTATGTTCAGTGATTTGTTATTCATAAGAGATTTTTAAAGCAATGTAATTTTTATGAAATCTTTATCATTATATTAAAAAAAAATATGTGCGAATTATGTAAAAATACATAGGACATTGATCAAGAATAAATAGATAAAATTGCAGCTAAAACGTTCTTTACTTCAATATAAGTGAATTTTCGACGGATTTGTTGTTTCTCGTCATCATCAAACTACATTCAAATTCAATGCAACATTAATCAATAACTAATACTCATAATCTATATTTGTTTCAAAGACAGATATTCAACATAATACTGCAAAAGAATTTAATCATAATTAAATAAATGGTATATTTGAGGGCGTTGAATTTAATCTAACGATTACAAGAAATAATAAATCTATCGAAAATTAATTTATATTGAAATAATAAACTTTTTTAGTTGCAATTTTAGTTTTTTTATTCTTGATTTTACATATATACCCTTTTTTTTTAATTATAATTATGAATTTGATGTTTTTAACGAAAAACTATGTAAATTTTTTTATTATAAAAATCAATTAAATAGATTTCTTTTTGACAAATTAATGGTCGATCTATAAAGAATTATACTGTTAGTAATTTTGAATTTTTTCTTCTATGATTCCCTTGATTGACTCACATTTTTTTTGTAAATCAAAAGATAGTGTTTAAAATTCTGCACAAAATGATTTAATTTATTTAACGAATATAGATTTCGCCATTTTTTTTTGGATTAAACGTTATCGTACAGTAAAATTTGTTCTTTTTCAAGTATTTTGAGAGAGCGTATTATTTCGTCTAATGATGCTGTCTTTGTTGTTACCCTCGTCCTAATTCATAGCTCCAGCTAGTTTATTCTATAAACTAATTACAATGCGCAGAACGACAGAGCGTGACCTGTGAACAGGGAAGAGGCTGACAAGAAAGGTGCTGTTTGTGTAAAAACAAAAGTTTGGGTTAAGATTATGATGTGGTTAGGTGTATATGGGCAAAGACTGACAATGCCGGTGATTCTGGAAGATAGAACAATAGATGTAGAAAGATATATCAATAATGTTCTCCTAGTAGCTCTACAATCTGCCAACAATATGTTAAGAAACAACTGGACGTATCAGCAAGACAACGAAAAACCTCACACAGATTACATGAGCCAAAACTGCTATACTGATCATTTTCCCACACTCATTCTGAAGAACTGTTGGCCATCAAATTCTTCTGCTCAATCTTCATTAGATTACAGTTTGTAAAATGAACTAGCTGAAGCTATAAATTGAGACGAGGGTAAGAACAAAGACAGCATCGTTAGACGAAATAATACGCTCTCTCAAAACACTTAAACAAGAAAAAATTTTACTGTACGATTACGTTTAATCCAAAAACAATGCAAGAAACCATATTCGTTAAACAAATTACATTATTTCGTGCACAATTTCAAGTACTATCTTTTGATTAAAAGAAAGTGTTTCAATCAACGGAATAATAGAAGAGAAAATTCAAAAATATTAACACTGTAATTCTTCCGTTTATTCTGCATAGCTCTACTAGATAAAATCACTAGTATCAATGCCAATCGAAGTTTGCAATTTGAATGAAGTATTTCAACTCATTTTATGAGTTTAAAATGAAAATAATTACTTGATTTCCAAGCTTAACAGATAACAAAGTCAATTTGTCAAAAACTAAAGAAACTTTAAGTGATATATTTAGATGGTCAGCATAACCAACAAATAGAACACGAATTTTGAGAGATATTATACACCGATGTGAATTCCATAAAGAACTTCTCAATGTTTTCAGGATCATTTTTTTATAGATTACATGATTCAATCTTCAATATTAGTTACGTCAAATAAATATGCCGACAGATATCAATATAGTTCCTTGTCAAAATAAATTCATCTATTAGTCTTATTTCCTACAATGTCTTTATTATTCATTATGAAAATATAATCATTAATTGAGATGAATAAGCTATATGAATAAAGGATAAGCACCCAGGGTTATCTCGGGGTCGCCTGGTTTGAGGGAGAGAATCAACAATTCAGAAGGTTGATTGGAAGATATTACCTAGAGTTGATCGAATTTTGTAGATTGTTGAATAAAAAAGAACAATACAACACTGGAACTTCGTTGGAGAAAAACGAAAATATTTCAAGATTGAGGAAGGACATCCTTGAGTATACCGATTGGGTGAGGGTGTAGGATATGGCTTTTCGTGTGTTGTTTTTCTGTTTCCAAATCCACACCCACACCCTAGGTGTATATTGATAGATACTTGATTGTTCACATAATACTCATTAACCATCACATATCATTTATTTTCGAAGTACGTAACATGCCCTCATACCTATTATTGATTAGTTTCTTTTTCGGATTAAATACTGGAATAAAAGTATTGCTAATGTGAACACAATTCCTTGAGAAATGCATTTTATTACTTTTCATTGCATTCGTAATAATTATCATATTCAGAGAATTAGTAATGGTTTTTTTGTGCTAAAGATTTATTATTAGTGAATGAGATACAAATGTTCTTTGAATAGAAAAGGAAATAATGGACGTCATCTTGATAAAAACAAAAGATTTGTGTTTGGATCATTTTTAACATTTGTTATTTTCATTCATTTAACTTTAGATAATGTCTATCAATAGAAGTTTGAAAGAAAAAAACCAACAGTTATCTTGTCGTTCTCATTAAACCTATCGAAATAGAATATAATGTGTAATCGACGTTCAAAATCGACTGCTTTCTTTCATATAAAAGACAAATTATTTCTACTTACTAATGACGAAATATGATGTTGATATACAAGATTAAAAATGAGAAAAAAAAAAGAATAGCTTTCATATTCTGATGAATATTAAACATCTTCATAATTGATTGAAATTTCATACGAACAATCTTGTTCGTTTTCTAATTCAAGTAACACAAGTTAACATTCTATTCATTATAGGTAAAGAGAGGAGAGAGAATTACTAAGCACAAGAAAAATATGTCATATTATGCTCATTCTACAAATCATCAACTAAAGGATTTTTGCGGAATTCAACATTCTAATTGCTACTAGTCGCTATTAGTTCGAAATAAAATCTATTAAATGTTATTCATATATTTACGTATCTTTAACAACTAGGAATAAACGATTATATACTTTCATTTAATTATGAGTACCCAAACTTGATATTATCCTGATCTTGGTAATCTATCTTGTACTTTACTTGGAACGAAAATGATAAGACAAACGATGATACACTTCAAAATTATTTTGAGCTATGATGAAACACAGAAATAATCATGAAACTGACAGATCTTTGATGCATGTATGCCAAACAATGAGTCATTGTTATACAATCTAATCAACAATTTTCATTTCTTTAAATGAATTCAATTATAGTACGACAAGTGATTTATATATAGACTTTGTTAATGCTCTTATACACGTACAGAATGAAAGAAAAAAAAACAAAATCTTTTCTTGATGTAATGAGTAGGAATTCAATAAATACACATTTTTAAAACTATGTAACTACGCATAAATGTTATATTGTAATCATTTTTACTATAACTTTCAAAATGAATGAGGATGATTTGCTATAAATTAATATAACTGAAAAGAAAATGAATGATTGAAGAAAAGAAAAAGTGAAAAAGAAATCGGAGAAGGCCTTCATTAATAACCAAAAATTAGATTGTGTTCTATATAGTAGAATGATTT